TGTCGTCGTTCCCCTTCAGGGTCGGCGGCGCTGGCCGTAAATCCTTCGCAATATGATAACGATGGTGTGCGGTGACCTAATGATGCCGGTGTTGGTGATTGTGTTGGTGGGGCGGCCCCAGAGGGAAGCACCCCCCCCGGGAGAAACTTTCCACCTCCCTTTCGGGTCATCCTCGGGCCAGTTTGGCCCTCAGTCGGCAACTTCGATCCCAAACGCTCTCGATGGCCCCAAGACGGCCCAATATGCCTCCAAGACGGCCCAAGAGGGCCCCCAGAGGACCCCCACAAGGGTCCGGAGAGGCAAAGGCCAGTGCTTTCCCATGGGTTTTGAATGCCTTTGGCTCTCTCGCCCGTTTGGCCTTCCAACGCTCCAGTAGGGCTAAATCGGGCCGAGGAATACTCAAAAATAGTAAAAAAATTCTCTGGGGACTATTTTTTGATTTTTTTACCCACTTTGGAATATTCCTTGACTACTTTTTAATTTTTCCTCCAAAATCCCCCTGTAGGGGGACAGACCCGTCTCAACAGTAGGGCCGGAGAGGCCCCCAAGACGGCCCCAGAGCCACGGGGAGGAACGCACGCCGACACGTCGAACTCTCCGCCCCGAGACGGCCGGCGAGAGCGCCAGCAGGCCCCCGAGCGGCAGAGGCCCCAAGAGGCCCCCTGGGAACCACCAGGAGACCCTGAGGGAGGAGCAGGAGGAGGAGGAGGAGGAGGAGGAGGAGGAGGAGGAGGAGGAGGAGGAGGAGGAGGAGAGAGGGAGGAGGAGGAGGAGGAGGGGTGGTGACGAGGACGAGGAGGAGGAGGAGGGAGGAGGAGAGGAGGAGGAGGAGGAGGAGGAGAGAGGAGGAGGAGGGGGTGACGAGGAGGAGGAGGAGGTGAGGAGGAGGAGGAGGAGGAGGAAAAGGAGGAGGAGGAGGAGGAGGAGGCCTCCTACCTTCCCCTTCCCCCCACCTGCTCGTCCGTCCTTAATCCTACAAATCCAACATTTTTTAACAACCATTTTTGTATACGTATATGTATGTGTATATATATATATATACACATAGAGAGACATGCATTTACACATGCAGGTATTTATAAACACACCCACATATGTACAGACATGTGTATATACACAGCCATCGGGGGAACAACTGGCGCTGGGGAAATGGTCCCGAGCTCTAAGGCAGGGGTCGTGCGCACGTCTTGACCCAGGCCGTAGCTCGGCCCATGCGGTGAGCACCGCCTGGTGGCCTATTCGCCTCTTGCCGCCCGCGGCTCAGGAATTGCAGCGAGGGTGTCGGTGCAAGGCATATTTGCTGCCGTCGCAGTGAGTTGGCAGACGCCAAGATGCCCAGAACCCACGGAAAATCCTCCTCCTCCTCCTCCCGCCTCCTCCTGCCATTCCACCTCCTCCTCCCCGTCCCCCTCCTGCCCTCCCTCCTCCTCCTTCTCCTTCTCCTCTTCCTCCTCCTCCTTCTCCTCCTCTTCCTCCTCCTCCTCCTTCTCCTCTTCTTCCTTCTCCTCCTCTTCCTCCTGCCCTCCCTCCCCCTCCTCCTCCTCCTTCTCCTCCTCCTCCTCCTCCTCCTGCCCCCCCCTCCTCCCCACCCTCCCCAGCCCGCCGCTCCCGCCGCCGACGACGGCGGCGCCTTCCCCCCCCAGCCCCACCCCCCGTCCGCTCGGTGCGCCCGCTCGCTGGTGAACGGGCTCCTGGACGGGGCTCCCCTCGGGTGGTGCCGTGATGAGGAGCAGGGAATTCAGGGAGTGGACGGCCCGCGGGGCAAAACGAGGTGTACGACAAGGACTCTTGGACCGCGCTGTGTGGTACCGCTCGGTGGTGTACACCTTGGCAGGCCATTTCGGAGGCCTCGTGCTCGTGGCAAGACGCCCACCCCACGTGCGAGCGGCCTGCCCGGGCAGGCGTGCCGGGGAGGAAAAGGCAGCACTTGCAGAGGAGGCGTTGCAACCTGCAGGGATCGCCGCGCCTGACGCGGACCAACTGGCCTTAGAGGATGAACTCGCCGGCACGCGGGCCGAGCACCGGGCTCGGGCTCTGGACCGATATCTGGAGCTCGCGGCGACCTCCCGCGGCGAGGCGGAGAACTACGTGAGCGGGCTCCTCAAGCCGCGCGAGCCGCTGCAGTTGGCCCTCTGGGACCCAGATTCGGGCAGGCGGCTCGGCCCCGCTGAGGCGATCGAGGTAGTGACTGCGTCCATCCTTGGCCGGGGCGCGGCGGCGGGCCCGGGCGTGGCGTCCTTCAACGCGCAGGTCCGCGCGGAGGTCCGGGCAGCCCAGACTGCAGCGCTCCGCGAGACGGCGGAGGAACTCGGCGACCCCTTGTCGCCGGAGCTGGTGGCGGAGATCGTCCAGCAGGCTCGCGCCTCTCGCAAAACGCTCCACTTGCCGCGCGCCGCGGCAAAGGCAGCGCAGGCGCCGGGCCGCCTGGTGACGTGGGCCGTTCTCAACTTGGCGCTGGTTTCTGGCCTCTGCGCAAGTGAGTGGATGCGGGAGATATCCCCGATTCGAAAGAGGGGGCCCCCGGTGGTAAGCGACCCTGCCGTCCTCCGGCCCATCAGCTACGTTGGGGACCTTGAAGGGTTTCTGGATGCTGGTTGGTTGGCCGTCACCCGCCCGCTGCTGGAGCAGTTCGCCGGCTCTGAGCAGGCAGGGGGGCGCTATGATGCGACGCTCATGGCGGCTGGGCTGCTCATCGCGCTCCAGGTGCGGCGCGGGCTGGGGCTCCGCACGGTGGTCCAGAAAGCGGACCTGCTGCATGGGTTCGACATGGCCTGGCGCGACGGCGTGCTGCTGCAGCTGCGCCGGGCTGGACTGCGCGGGCGGTGGTGGCTCGCGGCGGCGGCATCCCTCAGCGAGGAGCGCGTGCGGGTGCGCGTTGGGCCCCTCGTGGGTCAGATCGCCACGCTCCTTGACTTCGGGGTGGGGCAAGGCAGGCGCGGGGGCGTCCACATGTTCAGCGCGCTTGTCCGCGCTCTCATTGACGCCTGCAAGGTCGCCGCCCAGCCGCTCCCACTCGCGGAGAGCGCCCCGGCGAGCGCCCCTCCCCCCTCCCTGCCGATGCTGCAGTTCGTCGACGACACGTTCGTGTTGCAGCCAGACGAGACGGGGGTGATGCGGGCCAACGCTGGCTTGGGCGCTTTCTGTGCCGCCTATCGACATCGCTACCAGGACGGCAGCAAGGGCCCCGCTGCAATGGCGGTGGGCTGGCCGGCCGTAGACCCCAGCAGGTGCGGCACCATCGGGGCCGTCGGGGTCCGCGCTGTCAGTCAGCTCGAGGTCCTGGGCATCCCGGTGGACGCGGAGCTCTCCTTGGATCCGCTCCTGACACGCACCTGCGCAATCCTCCGGGACGGCGCGCGACGACTGACGGCCGCTCTCTCGGACCAGGGGTTCGGCCTCCCCATGATCGTTGGTCAGGTCCCGGGCCGCGTCGAGTCCGCCGCGCTGTATGGCACGGAGCTGCTGGCGAGCCATGCGCGTGGCTGGGCCGCGGTCGCGGCCCAGCTAAACCGCGCATACTACGACGCGGCGAAGGCGCTCTTGGGGCTCCCTCCGGGCACGTCCTTTGGCGATGGGGGCTACCTCCGCGTCTTCCTGGAGACGCGACTGTTGACGCGCGTGGCCGCCAAAGTCGCCCAGCGCATCATTCTGGCGTGGGCTGAGCTGCTGGTGCTCCCCGAAGGCTCACCCGTCGCGCCCGCGGTCCAGGCGGCGCTGGCAAGCGGCAGAGGCACTTGGCTCCAGGACGCAGCCGCGGTGGCTCGGAGCCTCGGGGTGGGGCCGCCGCCCGACGAGCTGAAAACCGCGGCGGCGGAGGGACCGGCGGCCCGCCGCAGGGTGGTGCGGCTATGGGCGCGGTCCTGCGTTATCCCGCGGGTGCGGGAAGCGGAAAGGGTGTGGTTTTGCGAGCAGCTGGCCAAGCTCAACGACACGGGGCTGCTGCCGATCGCGGCTGTCCTTCCCCTGCGGCAGGCCTGGCCGGAGGAGCTCCGTTGGGCCTCCTGGGGCCAGACCCAATGGAGGTTCCACCGCGCCTGGTGCGTGGCGCGTGTCACGTCCGAGCTGCCAACTGCCATCTGGGGCGTGGGGGCGGCCCGCCTGCCGACCACCTGTGCCTTGTGCGGCCGAGAGCCGGCTGGGCTGCACCACCTGCTGGTCCGGTGCTCGGGCTCTGATGCGCTCCGTGCCGCCTTGCTGGAGGTATGGGCGCCGCCGCCGGGGCTGGCGGAGTGGGTGCTCGCCGACACCGACGACCTCGGGGAGCTCGCGGCGAAGGTCCGCTACCTGGGGCTCTCCTGCGCGGCGCTGGTGCATGCCGCGCGCAGGTAAAGATGCCTCCCTTCCCCCGACCTGCCGCGGCTGCTGCCCTCCTCCTCCCCCTCCCCCTCCCCCTCCCCCTCCTCCTCCTCCTCCTCCTCCTCCTCCTGCTCTCACCCTCCCCGCCCTCCCTCGCATTCGCGCTGAGCGAGCCTGCAAAGCCCGCCCGACCACCCGGCGCCCTGTCCCACCTGCGGGGGGATCGGCCCCCGGGCGGCGGGGAGGCTGCGAGGCTCGCCCGGCGTTAGGGCCGGCCCCGAAGGGAGCGCAACGCACGCCGCGCCTGCCCGGCCCGCCCAGGCCCTCCGGGGTGACTGGGGGGCCCGGTGGCCCGGACCTGCAACAGGCGCATCCCCGGAGGGCCCAAGCCCGCTGCCCCCGCCGCGCTGGCCCATAGGCCCTCCGGGGTGGCGGCGCTCGGGGCGGGGCGGTCAAGCCCCGAGGGGCCTTCCCACACCTTGGCAGTCCATACTGGCAGTCCTCCTTCTCCTCCTCTTCCTCCTCCTCCTTCTCCTCTTCTTCCTTCTCCTCCTCTTCCTCCTGCCCTCCCTCCCCCTCCTCCTCCTCCTTCTCCTCCTCCTCCTCCTCCTCCTGCCCCCCCCTCCTCCCCCCCCTCCCCAGCCCGCCGCTCCCGCCGCCGACGACGGCGGGGCCTTCCCCCCCCAGCCCCACCCCCCGTCCGCTCGGTGCGCCCGCTCGCTGGTGAACGGGCTCCTGGACGGGGCTCCCCTCGGGTTCGCCGGCGTTGACACCAGCTGCCTCGAGAGGGGCGATGGCGATGACGGTGCCGATGACGACGATGATAGCACCGATGGCAACGACGACGACGGCGATGCTGATGCTGCTGTTGATGATTATGATGATGACAATGATTATGATGGTGATGATGATGGTGATGGTGATGATGATGCTGCTGCTGATGATGATGATGATGATGATGATACTGATGATTTAACTGGTAATGATGCTGCTGATGCTGATGCTGATTGTGATGATGACGGTGCTGACGGTGATGATGATGATGATGATGATGATGATGATGATGATGAAGATGATGGTACTGATGATTATGATGCTGATGATGCTGATGATGGTGATGGCGATGCCGATGAGGATGCTGCTGCTGATCTTTGCTGCTGATGATGATGGTGATGATGATGATGCTGATGATGGTGATGATCACTATGGTACTGATACTGATTATGACGGTGCTGGTGATGACGATGCTGCTGCTCATGACGACGATGTTGCTGCTGACGATGATGTTGATGATGCTGATGCCGACGATGATGACGATGGCGATTGCGTTGACGAAGATGCTGCTGCTGATGACGATGATGATGCTGATGATGATGCTGATGATGCTGCTGCTGATGATGATGGTGCTGACGATGATGATGATGCTGCCGCTGCTGCTGATGATGATGATGATGATAATGATAATGATACTGATAATGATGATGATGATGCTGATGATGGTGATGATGATGATGGTGATGATGATGATGATGATGATGATGATGATGATGATGATGATGATGATGATGCTGATGCTGATGCTGATGCTGATGATGATGATGATGATGATGAGGGTTATTGTGATGCTGCTGCTGGTGATACTGGTGGTGTGATGGTGATGCGGAGAGGGGGAAGAAAAACAGGAAGCGGATGAGGAGGAGCGCTGATGAGAAATTGCCCTTCTGTACCAGGTGCAGGGATCATGCTGAGGAAGCAGGAGGCGGAGGAGGAGGAGGAGGAGGAGGAGGAGGAGGAGGAGGAGGAGGAGCGACGATGAGCACCTCCCTCCTTCCCCCCTCCTCCTCCCCTCCTCCTCCTGCTCCTGCTCTTGCTGCGGCTGCTGCTGATACTGCTGCTCCTCCTGCTGCTGCTGCTGCTGCTCCTCCTCCTCCTCCTTCTCCTCCTCCTCCTCTTTCTCATTCCCCATTCCGTCATCCGCATCTCTCTTCATCCCTTCTCCTCCTCCTCCTCCTCGTCCTCGTCCTCGTCCTTTTCCTCCTCCTTCCTCCTCCTCCTCCTCCTCCTCACCCCTCCAAATCCTTCTCGTTTGCTCCTGCACGCGACCCCTGCTGATGCTCCTGGAGCTCGCTATGGCCACACCGCCGCCAAGGGAGCGATACCTGCAAAGGGGGGGTGCCTGACGGGAGGAGGGGGGGAACGGGGGGAGGAGAACGGCGGGTGGGCAATGGTGAGGCTGTTATGGTCCTCCTGTCCACCCTCTCCTCCTCTCCTTCTCCTCCCCTCCAGGACGGGGCAGAATGGGAGGAAGGGGAGGGGCGGGTGCGGGAGGAGGAATGGGAGGAAGGGGGGAGTGTGTTTGTGGCTTGTGTTTAAGGGATGGTGAGAGAAAGGGAGAGAAAGAGAGAGAGAGAGAGAGAGAGAGAAAAGAGAGAGAGAGAGACCGCACCAACTACTATATATGTTTATGCATATCTGTATATACGTGTGTGTATTTATGTGTAACACATGTGTACATGTACAAAGGATTCCATGACTGCACCTCGCGCGCCGTCGAATCTTGGCCCCCATTTCAAGGACGAGCCTCTGATAATCATTGTGGGGGGCGCCCCGAACCGCGTCTCGCGCACGAACGCATCGATTGACGACGCCGTGGTTGCGCGCATGCAGGCCTGTGCGCCCAAAGACAGGCGATGGGATAAGTCTGCGACGTCGGAAGCAACGGCAGTTGATGGGCGGGGACGGGGGGGACGTTCTCCGCGCACGAAGCGTGCGGGCGTGCGGTGATGTGGTCTTGGAGGCCCCTGGGGCCGCCTTCGGGCTCTCTTGAGCCGTCTTGGGGCTGTTTTTGGGACCTCATGGGCCGCCTGGGGGGCGACGGGGGGCCGCGTGGGGCAGGGGGTGCCTCGGAGAGGCTCGGGAAACTCTGGGGGGGGCCTCCGAATGTTTCGGGAGGCGCCCGAGCGACCGGCGCGCGCGTGGCCTGGCACGGCGCGGGGGCCGAGACGGAGTGATGTGTTTTCCCCCCCTGGCGGGGCTGCTCCGTAGGTCTGGAGTGGCTGGGGCGGAAACCGCGTGCGGACGGTCCGCGGCCGAGGGGGGCCGGGCTGGGGGCAGCGCGTGGTCGCTCAGCGGCGGCTGGGCTTCTTGGCGATGGTCTTCGCATCCTTCGCGCGACCCTGCGGGCGCTTGTCGCCGGCTGCTGGGGCTTTCGGAGCAGAGGTTCCTACCGGGCGGGAGGGCGTCGAAGAGCCGCCTCGGGCCCGCCGTCGTCAGGCTGATGACATCCGGGTACTTCGCGGCCATCGTCTTCCAGCTGTCGAGGGCGGTCTTGAGCAGGTTGCTGGCGAGGGAGACGCGGGAGTTCATCAATTCCACGACCTGGAAGCTGCCTCCGGCGATTCTCTCCCGTGCGCGTCAACTTCGCGCGGTGCTGCCAGCGCTCGGCCTTTGCGCCCCGCGCGCTCTCGTTGGTCTCCGCGGGGGCGTCGAAGTCAACCTGCAGGAAGGCATGCTCGAGCAGAGCCAGGCCCAAACCAGAGACGCGCAGCGCGGTCTGCTTGGCGGCCGCGGCGGCGTTGGCATAGGGCGCTGCGGCGAACGCCCAGGAAACCCCGCTCGTCGGATTCTGTCGCGCGCCGGGGCCTCTCAAGCCGGTCGGGAAGATGGCGCTGGTGCGCGTGGGTGCGCGGGGCAGGGAGTGGTTTAGGGCCCGTGACTGCAATGCGCGCAGGGCGTTGTTGCGGGCGGGCTTCCCCGCGCGCGGGCTTGCCGCGAGGGCGATGCACGGCTGGGCGCCGTTGTTCGTCTTGCCCGCCGCGTCCAGCGTCTCGAGTGTCACCGCGTTCGTGTAACTCGTGGGCGTGCTCCCTGCTGGGGGGCGCCCGCGGGCCCCGCGGTTTGCGGGGCCAAAAGGCGTCGTGGGGCGTCGCGCGCGGCGGCGTCCCGCTGGCTGCTCGAGGAAGAAAGGGGGGCGGTGAGGCGCGGTGGGCGGGAGACGCTGCTGCGTTTCTGGCTCGAGCCTCGCCTGCGACGGCGAAGGGGTGAGCCGGGGCAGGGCGCGACGTGGCGCAATGGTGGCGAACGAGCACCGTGCAACGTGCTGGCAGCAAATGAATGCGATGTAGTATACTGGCAGCGCATGAATGCAATGCAATGCGCTGGTGGCACATGAATGCCACGCAACCTGGTGGCAGACGGCAGCATGCTGGGCACCGTGCGTCGCGCGTGCAGCCAGTGGCAAGACATGTGCGATGGACAGTGGATGCAACGCAGTGGCAGCGGTACAGGGAAGACGAGAGAGCGATGATCGGAGGTCTGCAATGCAACGCAATTGCAGCGACAAAAGCACCATGCAACGCAGCGGCAGCAAGGGTGGCGTGAATGCGCGAGGGAAGCGCGAGAGGGGCACGGTGCATTTTGCGACGCGACGACGTGGCGAGACTGCGACCCGGGGCGGTGGAGGACGCGACGCGTCCCAGTGGCGGCAAACGTGACGCGGCGCAGTGGTAGCGAACCAACACCATGCAACACTCTGGCAGCAAACGAATGCCATGCAACACGCTGCCAGCACATGAATGCCATGCAACACGCTGGCAGCAAACGAATGCCACGCCACGCGCTGGCAGGAGATCGATTCCATGCGACGCACTGGCAGCAAACGAGTTCCATGCCACGTGCTGGCAGCAAATCAACGCCATGCAGCGCAATGACAGCAAATTGGTACCATGCGACACCCTGGCAGCAAAGAAGCACCATGCAACGCGGTGGCAGCAGATGAATGCCATGCAACACGCCGGCAGCAAGTGCACACCGTGCAACGCACTGTCAGGCGGCAGCGTCCTGGGCGTCATGCGACACACTGGCAGCAAATGGCGAGAAATGTGTTACCGAGGGAATGCAATACAGTGGGAGCGAAGAGGGTAAGACAAACGTGGTGATGACCAAATGTATTGCTGGTGTCCTCCCGCGCGCGAGCGCCGTCAGGCCCGGCATTCCCCCCTTGGGCGCTGGCTGGCAACGCGGCGGCAGGTCGCTTGCTCGCCTGCGGGCGCTGCGTGGCGCGTCGTTGCGGTTCCGCGAGCAATATTTCTGGCCAGACCACGTTTTTTGTCAAGGCGCGCCTCTGGCGCGGTGCGGTCGGCAGAAGTGAATGCTCGCGCTGGTCGCCTGTCGCGTGCCAGGCCGAGCGCGACGTGCAAATGGCCGTGCGTGAACCGGCTTCGGCGGAAATCAACCGCGCAACTTTCAAGCCAGAGCCCCTGGCAGGCGTTGAAAATGGCAGATCACGCCGGTCGCCGGGGGCATCGCTGGCGCGCAGTCGCGGCGGCCCCGCGGGCAATCGCCCATTGAAAACACATTCTGGAAGAGGGATCTGCCTGCCATCGAGCGTTTCCACGAGCGCGTGCTTGTCGAACGCGGCGCGGCGGATGACCGCGAGATGATGCATCGACCGGTTCTTGGGGCCTAGATTTCTCATCGCTTCGTGCAGCGCGCCGATGACCACGTGGAGTGTGCGCAGGGGGGCGCTGTTGTTGTCCTGGGCGTTGAATAACTCGGTGGGCGCAGAGCCCGCGAGGTCGGAGTCATCGAAGTAGGCGTTGAGCGTATCCGCGCTGTGCCGCACGTAGGTGGGGCGACTTGTGCTCGCGGACGAGCTGTCGGAGAATCTCGGCCTTGAACTCATTCACTGCCTCGTTGGTGTTGGCGACTATCCTGGCCTTTGCGGCTGCGTGCGGGTCGTTGAAGTTTTGGGGGCAGAGCGATTTTGCCTCCGCACGATC